CAAAACATGTGCATATACTGTCCATTTTCATCAAACTAGACGTGTGTAAGTCGATGCACAGCGGACTGTCGGAAATTTTACGATTGTTGTATTTTCTCTTCTTGAGTAAAGATAATAAAGACGTTGTGGTTTTGTGTGTTTATTTTGACAGTGATTGAACATCTATGGACAATAAAAGTGGACTGTATAAGATAGTTGAGTACCGTTCTGCTTCGTGCATAGCATGCTACTGAAATCTTAGAAGGGAGAAGGGATGAGCTCGTGCGGCGAACCCTAAATCAGCGGCTGGAATAGCCAGGTTTCTTATTGAGTCGGCGCACTTCGCTCTCGGGTCTGACATATGATTATTATTACAAAACTATGAATATAACTTAACAACGATCATAACCGATTATGCACCGAGAGGTGACGATCACTTAACCATTATAAGATGCGTTTTACACGTTAAAAACGGAAACATATTCAGTATTAGAACGAATAATTCTGTTAATACAATTGTTATATACAAATTCGGATACTGGTCTTTATACAACAAATCTTCCCTACTATACAATTGGAATATAAAGTCTATAACACCTAATAATGTATTAGTAATTCATTATAACCTTTATTTCATAAATGCATAAGGTGTATTAAGCACCTTCCAGTTAAACTGATTGAATAATGAGTATAGAGATGATTGCTTTTTTTTTAATAAAAGTTGTATATTGGTTATAAAAGTTTTAATATGCGCTATACACATTATTCTAGATAAACAATTTAATAAGCCCATTTCTTTCAGTGTAGATCAGTGATTGGTGATTTAACTAAATAAAACACGACACTTACCTACTCATATTTATCGTCTCTGTTTGTACTGGATACTCGCCTGTTGGATACGTTTTTCAATAAATAAAATAACACTGCCAATTTATTTTCATTTGATCTCCTGCAGTTTTCAAGATAAAATCTTTCACACATGTCCATTCTTGGCTACTTCAGAAACAATCTTCTACCGTACCTATTTTATTAGTTGTCTTAAAAAAATTAAAACATATTTATGACGGCAAATCAAAATTAAACTAGCTAGCAACCTTTGAAGTAAGGCCCATTTGCTTCCATACACACTGTATAGCAGTCTTTAGCTACAGCTAATAAATTTAGCTACATTAAAAACGACACGTTATATTAACCCAGATTATTCTAGGACAAATTTATCAACAAAATTTATCTGAAAAGATAAATTACAAACCAGTGAAAGCTTTCAGTAATAGTGTTTTCTACTCTACACGATGGATGCTCTGAATAAGGTTGGTAAAATTAGCATTCGTTTATTTAATTTCCGAAATACTGCATTGGATGACGTAATTTTTTTTAGCAGCTTTAGAGATTTACTCTATGATTTCGATACATAAAAAAAAATCTAGCTTACGATTCAACACTACTGAGATATTTGTGTTTGGACATTGCTAATAAATCGAGTGTATTGTAGATTTACACTTAAGCAACTGAGCACTATTATTGGATGTTGTTGATACTGCCAAGTTAGGATCGAAATAAGCCAAGACATAATAATTGCCAAGGTAAATGTAATGAGAGTTGTATATTTTAACCCCTTGTAAAACCTGCTGACGACGCCCATGTTGTTAGTACTTGATTAACTTTTTTTTTTCGATATTTAATTATTTTTGTGTACCTACAGAGTGAAAGTACACACCTGAAACTAGTTAGTATAGTTTTTCGTAATAGTAGTAAAAATCGTAGAAAGCTATTTCAAAGAGTATCTAATAGTTTCTTGTTTGTTTTTCATTACCATGGTTAAACAAACTTGAATCGAATTTCTCTAGTACTAACTTTAGACAAAAAGTAAATATATAGCAATTAAATGATATTGGAGATTTAGTACTGTTAATTTTTTAAATAAAACTTTCCTTCTGGATGATAAATCTATTCTATTCTATATATTTCTTTGAAAAGCTAATTTAAATTTTTTAGAGTTGATTGAAAATAAAAAATTATAACATTCATTCATTTTTCTGCTTGTTATGATTTCTTAATTTTCTGAAATCATCCCTTAACTTCTAGTCTCCCTAACTCTGTTAATATTAAAGTACAAGAAAATGTCATTTTTATGTAGAATTTTATGCTCCACAACTTTTATAAGAAATTTTTTTCTAGCCCTTACCCCTTTTCAGTTATCTTGAAAAACCACTTTATTTTATCTTTTTTCATTGAGCCTCCTTTTGAATGTGGTTGGGGGCTAGAAGAGCTTGTATTCCTCGGGATCTTTGTTGTAGGCTCATAAACTTGAATGGTATGGGGTGCTAGAGCTAAGGCTTAGATCGTGAGCGTACAATTCGTAAAAATTTTTTACTCAGATTTGAATTTTATAAAAAATTATGGAATTTATTGAAATCTTCGATAATAAAATTTACAATAAATGACTGTATTTCTGAGAGTTTTATCTAAAGCAAACACGAAAATTTGGAGCGTACTGTGTACTGACCAGGTATCCGTCTCTGGTTAATAAGCTGCATGGTACTTGGGTTGTCATTTGAACACAGTCCAGGCTGGGTCCGCAGGAGTACTCTAGTCTTCGAGTTGAATTTGAAAATTTCGCCTCCTTGAATAACACCCCTCATCTCGGAAGGAATATCGATCTCTAACTAGTTTTATATGGCGCCGCTTCAGTCCGAATTTTATAATATTTTCGCGTTTTTGTGCGCTTTCTACAGTGAGCAGTCAGTAGCGTGCGTTGTAGCTATATAATGGTATTTGGGAGCAATCAGAGATTTTTTGGAAACTTTCAAAACGTGTGAATATTTTATATCCCACTCTTCCCATATGCGCAGTGAGCAGTCTGCGAGCTTTTGTCTTTGTGTTTTTTACAGGATTTGTGTCCCGCGAACGACTTCAATTATTTTGGAAACATGGGCGATTTTTCGTACTACGACAATATGTATCAATAAATATGTTCAGAAATACTTCTTACAACAAATACAGAGGTACACATTGTAAAATTCAATAGAACAATAACATTAAATTCTATTGCAATAAAAGCTAATACATTTTTTTGTTAAACTAGGTATACGAAAGAATTTTTTTATGTGATTATTAGACATCGGGCACTTTGTGGCGACAATCAAATAAATAAACAGCAGCAGCAAATTTATATTATGCTAGTAAGCTGTAATACACGTTGTAGTGGCAGAAATAGGCTAAATTTGTGGTCAAGTCATATGTAGCTTTATGCTCACTATACACAATGCTACTGACTGCCAAAAAAACACGAGGCATACACTTGACCAAGCAAAGCGTTAAACTCACACATGCACAAACGACAATGAAATGCACGCCTAACGACCCTCGGCAAAAAAACATTAAGCTGGCGCTAGATACGTATCGAATAAATTGATCGATGCGAAACTTCAGATCAGAGACAGGCATGTACATGTTATTATACTTTAGATATGCGCCTGTGACCTCCGTAAATGTTGAACGGTTATTTTCGTTTTTGAAATGGGTATTTACCGATCGCCAGAGACGATTAATCGCGGAACGCTTAGGACAATTGTTAATTACACAGCCACACAAAAAAAGTTGTCTGTACTTTTCATGCGACATATATTTATTTTTGCCTCCTGATCACGAATCCTCCGCTGTCAGAATTGAGCTATTACATCGCAGGAATATCCTAACCTCAAAAAACAGGTCGAAGATAGCAAAAATTCACGAAAAAGTGTTAGGAAAAATACACAAATTTTTTTTTCTGTATTCAAATGTTCATTTATGTAGTTAAGACCCCGCCGAACATTTTAACCTCAAAAAAAAACGGGTTAATGAAGGTCAGATATTACGAATTTTCAAAAAATAACAGATTCGCTCCAAATTTGGTATACGGGGGTTTTCAGGGTTGCTGAGAACGAATCCGAGGTCAATTTTGCAAAATTCAAGATGGCGGATCCAAGATGGCCGACCAAATTTTCAAAAAATAACAGATTTGCGCCAAATTTGGTATACGGGGTTTTCCGGGGTCGTTGATCACGAATTCGACAGCAGATTTACAAAATTCGTTTTTAAAAATTTAATCAATCACCTATGTACTTTATTACCTGAGATTAGGCAGAAAACCCGTGAATAGATCTTTTACAGAAAAAAGAACAAGATATAGCCGAAAAAATGAAGGTTAAAACATGACTGGGTACTCAGGTTATAAAGTAAACAAAATATTACAAAATAAATTTCGCTATTCTGACCTTGAATTCGTGATCATTAGAGTTCGTGACTCGGTCGGATGATCATAATCGTCGCGTCGGCCTTTCGCTACAGCGCATCGTACGAAACCGGTAATAACGGTAGTTATTGGCTTCGCGTTTGCTTCGTGTATACGTGTTTTAATATTCTAATAATGTCGAAAGCGCCAAGGGGTAAAAAACGACCTTTCGCTGATAAAATACGAAAATTTATTTATTTTTTTATACCTACCTGTTCATTTATTTATTTACGATTAATACGCCTATGACTAGTCGACGAAAACCCCGAACTGTACTGATCAGCGCATCCGAAAACCCCCGTATACCAAATTTGGCGCGAATCTGTTAGTTCTTGAAAATTTGGTCGGCCATCTTGGATCCGCCATCTTGAATTTTGCAAAATAATATATAAGTAATTATCTCCTACTGAGTCGAAACACTAATCAAGTCTAGATTTATGGCATTTTTACGGAAAATATTTCATTTTTGATCTATTCTCACTATAATACTGTTCAATATGAATTTCGTATTTTATTCCATTTAGTCTAGAAATCTCATTCCCCGTTGGACCTGCTTATATGTATGTATGAAGTAGTCTGTGCATCCTGTTTTAAGCGTAAAACGGCTAATTTCTCAATTGGAGAAGGTCAGGAAGGCACATTTACATCGAGGCTAATCAGCCGCCTTTTTTAAAATAAATTACGTGAATCAAACGACCATTACCTCACAAACATAGTAATTTACTAATTACATTAATTTCTGTTACAGGAAAGACCGGCACTTTGGAAAGCAGCGAATCACCACTGACGAAACCTCTCTCAATTAGTGAAAAATTAATATGATTTACTAATGAGCTGCACGCTAATTAAAAGTGTCGGAGTTTGATGCCTGTTCAGTGCTGTGTTAGTGATGTGAATCGGGTTCAGTGATATTATGGTTGAGGAACAGATCTCAGACGAACAATGATGTCCTACATGTACATTAAATCATGTGTTTGGGTCATAGGATTTTTTTCACTTGGTAAGTGTGTTTGGGAGACAATCGGTGCAACTGCATTTCAACAGTTTTAGTAATACCATGAGAAGAAATTTATTAAATTACAATATTTGTAATATTATATAATATACAGGGTGTATCTAAATAACACCGAAAAAATTCAAGGGGCGATTCTCCGATGAAAATTAATAGGGGTCTTTGGTATAAAATTTTTTGAAAAAACCCTCCCCTGAAAAGTTACGCCTCTCCTAAAATTACAAAAAAAAATTGTTTTCCTTTTTTATCTTCCACGTACATCAAGCTAAAGAAACCAAACTTGGTGAACATTATCTGTCAATAAAACTACACTTTTTGAAATTTTTTCAACCCTGAACTATTTTTGTAAGGGGTTGAAATAATCAACCCCTATGACATTTTTTCTTATAATTTTTTTTTCGATAAAATTTTTTCCTTTTAAAAAATATGTCTAAAAAACCCCATTCATTTACTAACTTTTTGATCTCTTCAAGTTTCTTCGAAAAGTTAAGGATTTATGAAAAAAAAAAATAAATGTATTGTAATGTATTTTTAAAAAGATGAGCTGTTTAACGCGAGTGTATTTTGCCGAAAGATCTAGTGGCCTGTTCTTTACAATGGAATCCGTAGAAACAAATGTCAATGTCATTTATTGTTACTGTTTCTTACTATTTCACAAGTTTCATGATTTTGTGTAGAAAATATTAGTTAATAAACCGAAAATATGGTTAACTATTCGAATTTAGAAATGGCAGATATGCATTTTACATATGGGTATGCTAACGGTAATGCATTGGAAGCGCAAAGACTTTATGCTGAACAGTACCCAGAGCGTAGATTACCCCACCATACTACGTTCACAAATATTCACCAACGCTTGCGGGAACTTGGAAAATTTGAAAAGAGAAGTCATGACTGTGGCCGTAGCCGAGAAGTTAGAACTGAAGCTGTCGATGAAGCCGTACTTAATTTAATTGAGGAATCCCCAGAAACTAGTACCAGGAAAATAGCTCGTGTCCTAAATGTAAGCCATTCGGTAGTTTTTAGAATTTTAAAAGAACAACAGTTATATCCCTATCATCTCCAACGGGTGCAGTCGTTACTGATTCGAGATTTTTTACCACGTGTGGTTTTTTGTCAATGGCTTATTAATATGATCGGCCAAGCGCCGCAGTTCTTAAGAAATATTTTATTTACTGACGAGGCGAATTTCTCAAGAGACTGTATTAGAAATTTTCGTAACAATCATATTTGGGCTGAGGAAAATCCTCATGACTTTTTTGAAGGAAATCATCAGTATCAATTTTCATTAAATGTGTGGCTCGGAATTATCGACGATCATTTAATTGGTCCCTATTTTCTTCCACGACGATTAGATGGTGACTCATATTGTCATCTTCTCGAAGAATTACCTATTATTCTTGAAGAAGTTCCCATTCAAATTAGGCAACGTTTATGGTTTATGCACGACGGTGCACCAGCCCACTTTAGTATACGTGCAAGACGTCACTTGGATGAGGTGTATGCCAATCGATGGATAGGTCGAGGAGGATATGTAAATTGGCCAGCCCGCTCCCCTGACCTTAATCCTTTGGATTTTTGCATATGGGGATATCTGAAATCTTTGATCTACTCAAGGCCAGTTGAAGATATCAATGATTTGCGAAACCGCATTGTAGCAGGGTGTGAAACGATAAAAAATTCACCAGGAATATTTGAACGCATACGCAATTCTATGAGAACAAGAGTAGATGCTTGTATTGAAGCTGAAGGCAATCATTTTCAACATTTTTTGTAGATTGTATTGTCAATATCCGACAGATTTTTATTTTTTGTTACTGTTATAACATTATTCATCATTTGTTCACTTTTAGTCTAAGTTCCAAACTTCTTAGCCTAGTAGAATCATAGGTCAACTATTTGGTTGAGTGTTTTTTAATAAAATGTTATTTAATATGACAATAAATGACATTGACATTTGTTTCTACGGATTCCATTGTAAAGAACAGGCCACTAGATCTTTCGGCAAAATACACTCGCGTTAAACAGCTCATCTTTTTAAAAATACATTACAATACATTTATTTTTTTTGTCATAAATCCTTAACTTTTCGAAGAAACTTGAAGAGATCAAAAAGTTAGTAAATGAATGGGGTTTTTTAGACATATTTTTTAAAAGGAAAAAATTTTATCGAAAAAAAAATTATAAGAAAAAATGTCATAGGGGTTGATTATTTCAACCCCTTACAAAAATAGTTCAGGGTTGAAAAAAATTCAAAAAGTGTAGTTTTATTGACAAATAATGTTCACCAAGTTTGGTTTCTTTAACTTGATGTACATGGAAGATAAAAAAGAAAAACAATTTTTTTTTGTAATTTTAGGAGGGGCGTAACTTTTCAGGGAAGGGTTTTTTCAAAAAATTTTATATCAAGTACCTCTATTAATTTTCATCGGAGAATCGCCCCTTGAATTTTTTCGGTGTTATTTAGATACACCCTGTATAAACTACAATTTGTGTCATGTATTACCAAGAAATAGCTTAAAATGCTGTATTAAAAATTATAATTTTGTGAAATTAATTTCTTATTTCTCCAAAACGAACACACAAAATTGTGGAGACAAAAATTTCAAAATGTCATTGATTTTGTACTGTAACTATAGCTACTGTATTGTTGTTGAAAATTTTTAAAATACATTTGTAATGTTTAGAAATTTTATAGAAGTTGTCTCGGGTGGCACTGAAAAAATGTATACATACTATAGAACTACAAATTATATTTATACAATGAAAAAAGCATAAGTGTAAGAAAAGAGTATATCCATGTAATAAAAAAAACATTATTGAAGTGTAATCAATATAGAACATAGAAAAGATTATTATTGAAGATCATTATAAATTCTCATGGCTGCATATATTATAATATACAGTGCTATTATTTTAAAACCTGACATAGGTCAAATTTTTTATTGGAAGTGATAGACTAGTACTTCCAAATGCAAAGTTGTAGGAAATAATTTGATTAAGAAAAATTTACAAATAATTCTTTCCGGTGTTGTCAGATTTCTATAGTAGCTACTAAAACGGACATTTTTTTTCATGGCAACACCGTATTTTTTAACATAATTTGACAAACCTTCAAATTCTAACTAGAAAATGTCACATTTATTTATTGGATAAGTCGATTTAGAACAATCGGCATAAACAACAAAAATAATCTGTAGTCGGCAGGAACTAAAAGAAGCTAACATAGCAATTAAAAATTGCTATGCAATTGGAAATTAAACAAAAATTGTGCTGTTTTAAAGGGGCCATCATTATAGTACTATCATTTGACAGCTGTTGTACTTGAATGTGTATAAAAAATAACGTTTTTATTCAGGTGCTAAGATGAATAAGTTATTTAATCCACAAGAGAAAGTTGAATTAATTTTTCATTTTGGTGGCAATGCGTGCGCTGAATTCCACGGAAGATATCCCGATAAACATTATCCAAATCCGGAGTTTTTAAGAAATAACTTAGTAAAACTAAAAACAACTGGTAGTGTGTGCACAAGGATCTGCAAAATCATTTTAACAACTTAATTAAATTGTTTTTATACACATTCAAATACAACTTTCAAATAACACAATGATAGCACAATAACGATGGCTCCTTTTAAACAACACAATTTTTGTTTAATATTCAAGGCCTACTATAGCTATGTTAGCTTCTTTTAGTTCCTGCCGACTGCAGATTATTTTCTTTGTTTTTGCTGATTGTTCTAAAACGGCTACTCCAATAAAAAAATGTGACATTTTTTATTTAGAATTTGAAGGTTTCTCAAATTAAGTTAAAAAAATACGGTGTTGCCACTTAAAAAAATATCGTTTTAGTATCTACTACAGAAATCTGGCAACACCGGAAAGAATTATTTGTAAATTTTTCTTAGTTATTTCCTACAACTTTGCATTTGGAAGTATTAGTCTATCAATTCAAATAAAAAAGTTGGCCTAGGTCAGGTTTTAAAAAAATATAACATTAACTTTATTTTTATTTTATAACTAACGAGTTCCAGTAAATAAGAAATTTGAACACCACATTGTATATAAATTATTCATAACCAAGACGCATAACACTTACCACGTCTGCATAGGTATATTACAAAACTAAAGTATGCTAAAGCACTGTAAAAAATTTAGTAAATTTAAATCAATAAGTAGTGAATAATAATTGAAATTAATACAATTCTACAAATTCTGTATTACTTTAACTAGTAATTATAATGTAGCAATTTTAAAATGGTGATATATGGTCATTATATGTATTTAATTGCTTGCTTACACGAGTTTTATGAATTAGTAAACTAGTAAACAAATGATAGTTTCTGTCATATTTTGGAAATCTCTCTTACAATCAGGCTTCGACTTAACTTTTTCTACATGTAGTCGCTTCTTCTACCGTTTCCTGAAATTATACCTTTATATATATATAACTGGCCTTGAGTANTCAGCGGTTTTTTGAATCACCCTATATATATATATATATATATATATATATATTGTAAATATGAATATTCACAGTATCTGTAAGTATACTACATTCTACTAGATCTGAAAAAACTGTAAAAGGATTACCTCGGCTCTATCTATATCTATTAGTACAATGTTATTTTTGATTTTCCCACCCTTTATAGACATAAGACTTTACTCCTTTATTAAAATATTTTAATATACCTAACAGAACTCAAGGTGGTTATAACATTTTTCAAGAATTCCCTTCTTTCACTTTAACTAGTCATATGCAAATCTGTAAGCAGTTTAAATAATTTGCAGATTTTAACATACAAATCGCATTTGCCAGTCTAGTATGACTGTTTATAAGAGCAAGGGGTTAATTAGTAACGGCAGCATTGTGTTCGATTGTTTAGCTGTTTAAGCCTTTCTAAATGACCCCAATAATTGCACATAGAGTTTAAAGGAAATGGGAAATCAGCCATCAGATTCAATGGGTAATAGAAAATACTGGACGT